AGGATATTGGCATGGTTATAGAAGGGCAACAGAAAGGTTCTTATGGTTCTCAAGGAACTGTTCTTGATTGTGGATAAGAGAATGTGAACATGAGAAAAAATTCTATAGAGCTACACACACACACTCACACATGTGAAATCTGAATGAATGGTGGATTTTATCCATTTCCTGAATGTGGTGTGGTACTATAGTTTTTCAAGAAGTTACCATTTGGGAAAATGGGTAAAGAATAAACAGAATCTCTTGGGCGCCTGGGTGGCTCAGTTGGTTAAGCGACTGCCTTCGGCTCGGGTCATGATCCCGATCGAGTCCCACATCGGGCTCCCTGCTCATCAGGGGGTCTGCTTCTCCCTCTGCCCTCTTCCCTCTCATGCTCTCTGTCTCTCATTCTCTCTCTCTCTCAAATAAATAAATAAAATCTTTAAAAAAAAAAAGAATAAACAGAATCTCTGTATTATTTCATACAACTGCATGTGAAAATACAATTATCTCAAGATAAAATGTTTAATTATAAAAAACAAAAACCTAAAGGGTTGAATAGAAAACAAATACTAAGATGGTAGATATAATCCCAAAGATACCAGTAATTACAATAAACTAGACTAAACAATCCAACTGGAAGGTTAAGATTGTTATTTTGGATTTAAAACAAGAAATAAAAGAAAAATAAATACAGCTCAGAAAGGACACATTTTGTAGAGTAAGACTATGAAAGTTGAAAGAAATAGATAAAAGAATATATAATGTAAATATTAGCTGGTAGATATTCAGTGTAATTCTCGAAAGCAAGAAACAATTCCAGAGATATGGGACATTTCATAATGATAACATTTTTGACATTACATCAAAAAGTCATAAGGTTCTAAATCTGCTTATAACCAATAATGTAAAATTAAATGTATACAATAAATATTGACACACTAAAAAGGAGAAACACACAAAGTCACCATCATAGTAGGAAAGTGAAATGCACCTTTCTCAATATGAACAAATATGACCTAGTTGAAATATGTACAATACTGCACTAAAGAAAATGACAATACCAATTCTTTTAAGTGCATGTAGAATATTTGGAACTATTCATACACTGGATGAAATAAAGTCTCAACAAGTATCAAAAGATTGAAATTATTCTGCATGAAATTATACTGGAAAGCGATAACAAAAGAAATAATTAGAAAAATCCAAAAATATTTTGAAATTTTGCAATACACTTTTATCTAAAATATAGTCCATGAGTCAAAGAAGTAATTATAACAAAAGTTAGAAAATACCATTAAATGAATACTAAAAAAAAAAAAGCCTCATGAATATCAACACTTGTGGACTTCCAATTCTGGCCATGAAAAAGTAGCCCCATTTCTCTCAAATGCTCCCCAACACAACTAATGAACCTTGGACATACTCCAACAACAGGCATAGATGACGCTTGAAATGAAAAGGATAAGGCTGATTGCCTAGGGACCTTTGGACTTGAGGAATGACAAGGTGGTAAGTCTCATGGGTTTTCTTGCTGCCTCCCATACATCTTAGACAGTGCGCTCTAGAAGTCTGCAATCCAGAATCACTAAGAGCAAGACAAAAAAAGGGTTACAACAAAGTCTGTTCTCCCTAAAGGACTAGGGAATGAGTGCACTAACCACATTCAATCTTTTTTGGAAACCTGCCTTAATACAATCAAGTATCAATCGAGCCACTGTTCCATTTCCTCCAGGTTTCAGCAGGGCCAAGCAGGGAGCTAGTCCTCTACACCTCCTCTGATTCCATCACCTGGTGGTGTTCAAGGGACCATGCAGGAAGCTGATCTTCCATCCCCCATGTAAAAGAAGTAGGCAGCATTCCCATTTCCCTTGGGGTAATGTCACTGGGGCCTAGTGGGAAACTTAACCCCCATTCCCACCCTGTGGCAATTAAACTGAGTGAGGTGGCATGAAATGGAGTTAGTACTCTATCTTTCCTCCCATGCTAACCACCATGGCTTAGCCAGAAGCTTAGCCTCCACTGCCATCTGTCATCACCAAGGTGAAGTGAGGTTGTGGGAGGTGGGACTCCTTGCCCTCAGCTTTCCCTCCGTCTCTGTCAGCAGGGTCTCCTCTCTGTCAGCAGGGTCTCACTATGGAGAGTTGAGCTCTACCCCATCCTGTAGCAATAAAGCAACATGCATCAGTCCTGTCCCTCTACCTTCCCAGGTGACAGTAGAGTCAACTAGGGAAATAAGCTGACGCTCCACTCAAAGGCAATGCATGATCCATTTGGCATCTGACTTTCACCAGGATTTAGTCAGAGGGACTGAGGAGTGTGGCAAACTTACACTTCAGTCATCTTTAATGAGGCAGTTTGAGTGGGCATTCAGGGAACTTAACATACACACCCACCCAGCCCTCACATTACATGTCAACAAAGGGATTACTTGCTTTAAAAAGGAGATTTAAAAAGAATCCAGAGTCTCATAATTTAATACCCAAAAAGTCCAGGATAAAATTTTTAAAAAATCACTGGTTTTAACACAATTTGAAAGATAAAAGACAATCCAAACACACAAATACTGAGATGAATGAGATACTGAAATTATCTGACAAGTATTTTAAAGCAGTCATCATAAAAATGCTTGAATAGGCAATTACAAGTGTTCTTAAAACAAATAAAAAATTAGAAAATACACACACACACACACACACACCCCAAATGGACATGATAGAACTGAAAAACACATCAACAAAAAAAAAAATAAATAAAATCATGCCAAATGGATTCAATAGCAGAATGGAAACAAGAGGAGATAGAATCAGAGAACTTCAAGACCAATCAATAGAATTTACCCAGTCTGTATAGCAGAAAGAAAGTTGATTGAAAAACAAAAGTATAAATTTTCAGGGATCTGTGGAAGAATAATATAAGAACTAACATTGTATTAACAAAGTGACAGAAGAGAAAAGATACTGGGACCGACAAAGTATTTAAAGAAGTAATGACTGACGGGCGCCTGGGTGGCTCAGTTGGTTAAGCGACTGCCTTCGGTTCAGGTCATGATCCTGGAGTCCCTGGATCGAGTCCCGCATCGGGCTCCCTGCTCGGCAGGGAGTCTGCTTCGTCCTCTGACCCTATCCCCTCTCATGTGTTCTCTCCCTCTCCTTCTCTCTCTCTCAAATAAATAAATAAAAATCTTTAAAGAAGTAATGACTGAAAAACATCATTTGCTGAAAAGTCATAAACATACAGATTTAAGAAGCTGAGTGAAGCCAGGAGAGAATAAACCCAAAGAAATCCATGCAAAGATACATCATAATTAAACTTCTGGAAACTAAAAAAAAAAAAAAAAGAAAAAAGAAAAAAAAAACTTTGCAAGCCAGAACAAAGAAAGAACAAATTACTTATAGGGAAGCAACAATTTGAATGATCAGGGTGGCCCAAAGGCAGTGCATGACATTTTTCAGATACAAGGTAAGAATTGACAACCCTGATTTCTATATCCATGGAAACTATCCTTAGGAATGAAGATAAAAAAGATATTTTCAGACAAAGGAAATTAAGAGAATCTGACGCAAATAAATCTACCTTTAAAGAACGGCTAAAAAAAAAAAAACAAATAGAAAGGAAATGTTAACAGAAGACTTAAAACTTTAGAAAGAAAGAAGAATATTGGAACAGGTAAATCCTGGGTTAAATATAATAAACTATCCTTCTGTCCATAAGTTTTTAAGATCATTTTTGATTGAAGCAAAAATCATAATACCACCTGATATGGTGCTTGATATATATAGAAGAAATTAAGATAACTATGCCTACAAAGTGGGGGGGGATTAAAGGACCTAACTATACTTCATTCAAAGTGATAAATCGTCAATACAGTGGTGTGATATGTATGTTGTAGTGCCTTGAGCAACCACTCAGAAAACTATACTAAATGATATACTGAAAAGCTATGTAAATACATCAAGATATAAACCTGAATTTCTGGGTATAGCTAGAGCAGACTTTGATGAAAATGTGCAGTTCTGACTACATAAATTAGCAAAGTAAGTCTGAAAAATTAATGATCAAACCAAAGGTTAGGAAACCATGGCCTATAGACCAAGTCTCGCCTGACACCTGTTTTTATAAATAAAGTTTTATTGGAATACAGCCATACACATTAATTTATATTTTGTATATGGCAGTTTTTATGAAACAAAGGCAGAATTCAATAGTTGTTACAGAGAAATTAGGCCTGCAAAGCCTAAAATATTTACTATACCACTTGTTACAGAAAAGTTTCAGGACACCTAGAACATCGATCTCAAGAAACTATAAAAACAAAATGTCAAGCCAAAGAATTTAAGGAATGAAAACAATCAAGAAAGAAGAAGAAACTCATTATTTATAAGACACATAATAAAGAGCTTCAGGACATTGCTAATAATCTACACTTATTTAAAAAGATAATATGAGAATATTCTCAAGTGCATGAAAATAAAGTTTGCTATCTAAATGAACTATACAATTTCCTTGAAAAAAAAATTTACTAAAGCTAAGATAAGAAATAAATTAAAAAAAAAAACAACAATAAAACTCTATCTATTAAGGACACCAAATTGGGGGCCTGGGTGGCTCAGTTGGTTAAGTGACTGCCTTCAACTCTGGTCATGGTCTTGGAGTCCCAGTATCGAGTCCCAAATCAGGCTCCCTGCTCAGCAGGGAGTCTGCTTCTCCCTCTGACCCTCCCCTTGCCTCAGTCTCTCTCTCTCTCTCATCCTCTCTCTCAAATAAATAAATAAAATCTTAAAAAAAAAATATAAAGACACTGAATCTATTACAGCAAGTTAGTAGAGTCAGGGCCTTAACTTAATGTTTTGTGTCATTGGATTCATAAATGTTTTACTGTGTTATACTATTTTTTTGTATTTCTTTCTACTATTAGAAATGTGGTGAGAATAAAAGTCATAAACCATATTATGTTAAAAGTTTAGTTGTAGGCCTCTTTGCAGTGAACAGAAAATCAGAATCTACTAGCATGAACTCACCGACTCAAATCTGTCCCAGGCACATACTGAGAGAAACGTGAATGAAGCAGCGGGATCAGCCTAAGGTCACACCATCGCTTTTCCCATCTCAAGCCTGGAGATGTTGGCCAAGAAGAACATGACAGTGTGTCCTGAAAAGAATACAAACAATCAGTCTTCTTTTTTTCAGTTCTGTGTTTTGAGTTCCTATGTCACAAATACTTTTCATTTGGAGGGGATCATTTTTTCTCCTAAATAATCAAAAGACATTTATAGACTACCTCAAAAAGGGATCCATATTATTGCCAATAAAGTTGCATCTGTTAATTTCTTTATTAATGGCATTCTATAGGAAAGTGAGAAGGGAATCATTGAGATTAAGAATGGTAGGGAAAGCATATGGAAAAAATGGAGTGGGGAGAAGGAAGAAAAAAATAGAAGGATGAAAGAACTGAATTCATTCAGGAATGGGAAATAAGGGGCAAGCTGTAACTGCAATGAAGTAGTAAGTGACAATATAAAAATAAGTTGTAGTTCATTCCATTAGCCAATATTTTCTGAGTATCTGCTAAGCACTAAACAATGTTATGTAACTGCTTGTGATTTATCAGTTACTTGTAAATATTGAGTAGAATAAATATTCTTATAAAACAAATTTTAAAAACTACTCAAGAAAATCTTTGTCTATTGTTGTAACGTCATGTTTAGAAAATCTTTGTATTTTCTTATATTGTTTTAAAGTCATGTGAAATCAACCAGCGCTGGTTTAAAATTACATGCATTTTAAGTTTCATTAGAAGTTTGGGTCTTTTTCCTTACATATAGAAGAAACATCTATTTGAATAAAATTTCGGCTTTTCACACTTGATGATGATTCATACTTCTTACATTATTTCAGCTTTACTTTAATATTTCTTCCTGGCAGTAGTATATGGAATAATGTTGATATTTAAGTTGGCATGGATTGTAAGGGGCCAAGGCACAATTTCATTTCTTTATATCTATAGATTCTATAATTTTTGAGTGATGATATTGGAAGGAAATCCTATTTTAGTCTAGATGTTAAAACTCCATTAGTATCAACATTATTATTAACATTTTCTTTTTTTAAAATGATTTTACTTTTAAGTAATCTCTACACCCAACATGGGGCCAGAACCCACAACCCCGAGATCAAGAATCACATGTTCCACCAAGTGAGCCAGTTAGGTGCCCTTAAGATTTTCTTTAAGATATTAATTTCTTCAAAATTGCTTAGGGGAAAAAAACTTCCATTATTTTTCACTGAAAGTTGAGTGCTCTTTGGCATTATTACGTTATTGGTACCAATTGTGCCAATAAAAATCTACTAAATCCTTCGAGTTGTTGAGAACAGCTGGTAGGAATTCAAAATAGAATTGAATATAGAGCAAAATGCTGATCCAGCTGGTAGGAAGGCAAGGTAGACTTGCAAAGACCATCCAATGAGGGGCCCCTGACTGGTGATTGGTCTCCAAGACCCCTAGCCTTTGATGCAACAACGGTGCCTTTCATGCTTATTTGGTGATTGCAAAGGCACAGACAGGTTTCATGTTGATCTTTCTTCTGGCCTTGATGTCATATGTTATAGATGGTCAACATTTGAAATGGAGTCAGTTAGGTGGCAGTGCCACAAAGTGGGGAAGATTCAGGGTTTGAATCAAAATCAGACCACCTGGGTTCAAAAATGCCAATTTCCCAACTGACTAGTCCTTTAACCTAGGGGCAATTTATTTAAACTCTTGGTGCTTTATTGTGCTTATCTCCAAAGATAAGGCTATCACAAGGCTTCTTCTCACAAAAGAAAAACCTGAAGCTTTTTTAGGCTCAGTAAATTATTGTTTCTCCACCTTTTTTGCATGAAGGCACTTGAAGAAACAATAATCCTGAGTGACACACTAGGGTAAACAGACTAGGTTTCTGTGACCAGAACAGACTGTAGCAAGTGTTAAGTGTCCCAGGTCCCACCAAGCTGCCCTAAACTATTAAGCATTATGTCTGGAACCGACTCAAAGGACCCCAGTGCACATGGTTCTCTCCTGAGAAGTTTTACAGTAAATAAATGGCTCAGGTCAGCCAGCCTGCAAATGACAGTGCCAGGCAGATTCATTCAGACCTAAAAGTCTCTATGATTCTAGGGCCATCATATCTATTATAGCACAACATTTACCATTCATAGTCAGAGGTGAAACCATGCAAAGAATAATTCAGATTTTTGTCTTGATTATTTCACAATTTTGCTGTGATTTTTGGCAAATTATTTAAAGATGGTTCTTCATCTTTCTTGAAAAACACAAATAGTTCCCCTCACTTTATATGTTCCATGAACAAATGACATAGAAAGTGTAACAGAAGATAAAAGACTTAAGCAATGGAATATTGAGGACAATGATAATCACTAATAGGTAAGTTTTAGAAATTATGTTTTATAAGACTTCATAGTCTTATATGAAATATGAAATATATGAAAATACATGTGATCTTTGATGTGTCCTTGATGTAACATCTCAACTTGATACTTTTATGAAACAAAGTTGTCAAATGTCACTTTCTTTTATGTTTTCTCCTTATAAAAAATATGAAATAAGTCCCATTTCAGCTATTGAGCCAATCAGCATTAATGTATTTCATTTTACAGATGTTATTTATAATGTCCTTTGAAGATTATTTATCCTTATTTAATTATGAAAATTGAATATAAATTTGCTTTCTAGTTTTTTCTCTAACAATAGTCTTAGTTATTTTTAATTATATATAAATGAGCTAAAAACAATGGTTTTTACAGTTTTAAGGCTCATAACTACTTTTCAAGAGCTTTATTCTTCAATGTCAAGAATGTTGTTTCCTAGAATAGTAATAATGTGAATGGGAAAAATAATATTTACATAGTCTTTGCCTTAAAATAGATTCTTTTCCCCAAACTTAACACATTTCAGGGTATATTGCCACACAATAACCTCAAGAACAATGATTATACCAAAATAGAATTGAATATAGAGCAAAATGCTGATCCAGATTTTGTGAGGAGTTGGCATAAAAAGTATTCATTAAAGGTATACAGTTAAGAAAAATGTTTCTCAGAATCCGGTTAGCTAATTATCTGAATTTAAGGCTCCTGGTGAGCACAAAACAAATTCTGTTCTTCCACAATGGGTGCAAACCACAGGACTCTTGTATACCCTAAAATTGGCAACCTAGAAGGACTAGACCATATTTTTAGTAAGATGGTGGAGTGATGTTAATATATTTTCCTATATGCTTAAAATGCTGTTTCAGAAAACAAAAGAGTGCCTACTTACTCAAAATTTGCTTCAGAGAATAATTAAGGCTTAGGAATTAAAAAATGGAGTTACCTGGGTCCAGGATAGAATTGAGGATTTAGACACATCAGAGAATTAAATGTTTCCCTTAAGGAGACTGTTTATAGTGTGCACACATTCTGTGGAAAAATATGTTTCTAAATTCATACTTCCTTCCCATTTCCCCCTGTTCATTGTTATTTAGTGATGGGTCAGAAGAAAACATGCCTTTGATTGCTCCTAATTTTATAAATCTCTGAGTAGAAATGTCCTTCACTCTCCATACCTGCCTCCAAGCCTATCACGATACAGAAGAGGAATACGGGATAGCACTGGACAGGTAATGGGGCCTGATGGGGCCTGAAGACTTACTCTCTTATAGGCATTAGAACAAAGATTTGGTTCGTAGTCCCTCAATTTTTGTTGAGCTCAATTAAATCAGATATTCAAAGTCCTGAGTAGCCCTTTCCTCTGATATCAGAATGCTAATATCCATTGTTTTTTTCTGTTTCTATTATAGTTAATTTTATGCATTTGTCTATAGATCTGAATTTTAAACTTTTTGGGTCAGGACACACAATTAACTTCTCCCCATGGTATCAAGAAGAGTGTTTCCACAAAGAAGATTCTCAGTAAAAATTCATTTAATTGAAGCACATTGATTTTTTTTTAATTTTTAGTATACTTTATTTCAATTTACATATGTCTTGGCTCTTATTCTCTAAAATTTGATAAATATCATGACTTACCCTGCACCTTTTTTTTTTTTTTAAAGATTTTATTTATTTGACAGAGAAAGACACAGCGAGAGAGGGAACACAAACGGGGAGTGGGAGAGGGAGAAGCAGACTCCCTGCCGAGCAGGGAGCCCGATGCGGGACTCGATCCAGGGACTCCAGGATCATGACCTGAGCCGAAGGCAGTCGCTTAACCAGCTGAGCCACCCAGGCGCCCATACCCTGCACCTTTTTAAAGATCTTCAGCAATGTCAAAATAATGTTCAATCCTAATGCTAAAAATGAAAGTAAAAATCCATCTTGAAAATAGAAAGACATAATTCCTATAAGGGAAATTTACAATTTTTTTTTTAAATTTTATAGAGAGGGATTTACTTCGAACAGTCATGTTATAGAATTACTCAGTGATCTTATTGCTTAATTATACCTTTCTAAAGGAGGACATGATAGAAAACAACAACATAGAGGCATGGTTCATGAAATTAAATCCACAGATGTTTTCATGTATGTCAACAAGATGAGTTAAAAACAAACTAGACTGATTCTTAGCTATAGGCCTTCCATACTGACTTCTCTACTTCTAATTATTATAGAGGAGTCCAAAGGTAATAGGACAAGAATTAGAATAAAAATATGACTAAACAGTTTCCTCCCATTCTGAAGTAAAAGAGCGCTTCTTTCCTGTCTGAGGAGCAGAGCTGAGATGGGACTTTTGTGTCAATGATATGTGAAGGGAAATTTCTCAGGAGAAACGTGTGAGGAATGAGGGAAGCAGTGGATGAGACAAGGAACAACCTTGCCAGAGATGTGGGCTCCTGAAGATCTCAAGTTGTTGGCTGCAGCCATAACCTGGGAGGGGGTGGTGATTCCAGAGAGGTCATCAGTGAATGAGGTGGGTTGGGGGCGGGGGGTTGGGTAACCAGCACTCACAGCAGCCGGGGGTAGGTCCGCCCAGTAAAGCGGACTGGAAAGGCGTCAAAAGCACCGAGAGCATCTAGATTGTAAGGAAAGAAGGTGAGCAGTTTCTGAAGTAAGAGGTAAAGATTTGGCTGGAGATTGTAAGAAGTCTGTAGAATTAAGAAGCTTGCTAGCGGCAGCACAGAATGTATATATTCATTGATTCATTAGGAAATTGATGTTTAAGTCAGATCTTGCCCTCTTCTGAAGATCAGTGTTAATTTAAGTATTATCTATAATGTGACAATTATTTCTCTGGCAACAAAAATAAAAGAGATCAGATGAAATACACCCAGATGTGGTTGGTTTATGAGGGTAGAGATAAACCTTGGTCTTGCCAAGGATTCCTCTTTAGGAACAAAGAAATAATAAAATTTAAAAGGACTTGGGTACCTAAGGCACACAGGTAAGGAATACTACTGGTGCACTGAGGTACAATGAAGGCTGGAGATGCTCAAAAGGAGTACTTTGAGGTAAAATGCCACAATTAGGTCAAGAATTTCAAGTGAAAGATGAATCTTTTAAGTCAGAAGCTATGTGTGTTTTTTACATATCCTAATATGTAGAATAGAAAAATAAAATTCTACTTAATATCAGCACTACTGCTACTCTCCATGTTTGTGATCCCAGAGGAAATTTGTTAGATTCACATATAACCTGAAAGAACTGTTTTGTCTTTAGCATGTGTGAGTGTTTTGAAGGGTGAAATATAAGGAGTTTCAAACATATTTATAAAAAAAAAAAAATCTGTTTACTCCACACTACATGTGGAAAAGAAAATTTAACATTTTATTAAATGTATATAAAACAAACATGCCAATTTTATCAATGATTAAATACATGTATAATTTAACATTTGTGACATTTTAACATGATGTTAGATTATTCTCTCTTTGCATTAATTTCCTGGTATGCCTGCAGATTGTTTAGAAATCTTACCAAATGGAAAATTAAATAGCTACTTTCAGCTAAATGATTTCAAAAGAAAAATGATAAAAATCATGTCAAATCATTTAGAGCATGAAATTACATACAATGTACACTGTTATAAAATGATTATGTGATGTTATGTGTGAACTCACTAAGTTAAGTCTCTATAGCTTACAAAAGGCTTAATGCAGACTTGAGAGGAGAAAAATGACATTAAAAAATATTTATTTATTTTTTCTTTCCTGGCTTATCTTAACTCCTAACTCTTAAAGGATGAAGCAAACAAGGATCTCAACTATATCAGAGCAACGAGATTCATTAGCAGTTTTTGCAAACTATGACTATTCACATAGATAATATATATATATTCAATATATATTTTATATATTACTCTTTTCTTTGTGTTATATCCTAATTAATCTATGCCTTGGTCATCTTACTGTATTGTTGGGATGATAGTTGAGATGCAAGCCACTGTCACAAAGTGGAGAGGAGGTGCCACTGCTCTGGTCACTTGGAGCACCTGCAGGAAAAAAATCACAACACCCCACTGGTTAGAACACCAAAATATTCTAGACTGATGCATTCTACATTATATCTTTCCATATACTCAGTAATGTCAAGAAAATCAGGCAGTAAAATTAATTTTTATTTCACTTATATGAAAGCCAGAGTTTTGCAAGTAGGCTAAGTGACTAAAGTGGGACCTTGAAAGAGAACCATGTATTGATCTTTGAGTTCAGATATATTGCAAGGCTTTATTAATAAAAACATATAACCTTATAAAATTATTATTTCATTTCACTATCCAAAGTGACCTACACTTATGAACCATACTTATAATTGTGCAGAATTCGGTTTGTCTACAAAATTCTATTTATTGTTATGTTTCAACCTACTGACAAGTCATATTTTTAGATACCATAATTTTCCATGATGCAAAAAAAGTGTGTATGGGCTCTTTACAAATGCTCTTGGTATATGCTATAGTTAGAAATGACTTCATTCATGCTATGTAAATTGGTGAGATTGAAACTAAAAACCTTCATATCAGATTCTCATAAGAAACTTATTAATATCTATCTCTAAATATGAGTATCGTATGTCTTAAACAGATTTCACAATTCAGTAATTTTTACAGTTAGGATTAGAATACATATGTCTTGATTTTTGGTTAATTGCTTTTTTTGGAAAACGTTATGTATTTTGAAGGTGCTGATATTGATAAATATGCTTTATTAACATAATTGACTCTCAATTTTTACTTGAGATATTATACTTAAAACATCAGAGGTCATAGGTAACACTCTTAAAATTAAAGTGTTGGAAAAAAAAAGTGATTTTGTTCTCCTTTTTAATCACTCTAAAGTTTCATAGCTTTCCTGGTGTTAAGAAGGGGATCACAGGCTTTTCTACCTAACTAGCATGAATATAGTTTTTCACTTTTTAAATCTTAACAATTTCATACTTTGTTTTAGATAATTTTTTCTTCTGATATTTATCTGCATTTATCTCTTATGAGACAATATTTTAATATATAAACATATTACTTTAAAATGTATATACATTTTGAACAGAATAAAATGATATGTCAAGTTTTGTGACAGATCCAAAGCAGTCTTTTGAGTGAAATTCAAAGCTCTGTGAATTGTCTAAGACTGTTGAATCACAGACCTGTACCTCTGAAACAAATAATACATTATATGTTAAAATTAAAAAACGAAGAAGATAGCAGGAAGGGAAAAATGAAGGGGGGGGAATCGGAGGGGGAGACGAACCATGAGACTATGGACTCTGAGAAACAAACTGAGGGTTCTAGAGAGGAGGGAGGTGGGAGGATGAGTTAGCCTGGTGATGGGTATTAAAGAGGGCACGTATTGAATAGAGCACTGGGTGTTATACGCAAACAATGAATCATGGAACACTACATCAAAAACTAATGATGATGGTGATTAACATAACATAATAAAATAAAATTTAAAAAAATTAAAAAAAGAAATTCAAAGATTTAAATGTATACATAAAAGAAAGGTACAAACACAATGATCTATAGTTTCATCTTAAGAAGTTAGAGATGAAAGAGCAAATTAAATCAAAGTAAAGAAGACAGAAAATAATAAAAAAGAAGTGGAAAATAGTAAGAATCTGAACAAAATAATAGACAAAATTAACCAAGACAAAAATGGGTTCTTTGGAAAGATTAATAAAGCTCATAGCAAAAATGATGTAGTAAAAGAGTGAGAAGATACAAGTTATTAATATCAGGAATGAAGAAGGTGGTATTACTGCAAGCCAGCAAATATTAATAGAAATGATAAAAGGATATGATGAATAATTTCATGTAAATAAATTCATAACTTAGTTAAAATGGAAAAAAAAGTCTTGAAAAACATTTTACCAAAACTTATATAAGAAGAAAAAGTATCAGAAAAAGTCCTATAAGAAGTCAAGAGATGAATTCATACAAAATAAAAATTATAATTCTAAGGTGTTGTTGCCTTTTGGTGAATTTATTAAATTATTTAAGAAAAATATATTACTGGGGTGCCTGGGTGGCTCGGTTGGTTAAGCAACTGCCTTCAGCTCAGGTCATGATCCTGGAGTCCCGGGATCAAGTCCCACATCGGGCTCCCTGCTCATCTGGCAGTCTGCTTCTCCCTCTGACCCTCCTCCTTCTCATGCTCTCTGTCTCTCATTCTCTCTCTCTCAAATAAATAAATGGAATCTTTAAAAAAAAAAAAGAAAGAAAAATATATTACTACTGGTAAGTAACATCTTTGTGGAAATAAAGGAGTTACCATTCCAGAAGTTACATGAAGACATTAAAAACCCTGGTACCAAAATTGCACTAAAACTTTACAAAAATGTACATATGAATATCCCTCATGAACACTTCAAGTTTTTCTTATTTGTTTATATATTTATTTATTTGAGAGAGAGCAAAAGAGAGAGAGAGAGCACGAGCAGGGGGGAAGGGCGGAGGGAGAGGGAGAAGCAGACTGCCCACTGAGAAAGGAGCCCAATGTTCCCTAATCTTGAGCAGGACCCTGGGATCATGACCTGAGCAGAAGGCAGACGCTTAACTGACTGAGCCACCCAGGTGCCCCGCATATATCTATATTTTTAAGTCTTAATGTTTTAGCAAATTGAAACCAGCAATACATTAAAAAAAAAAAAAAAACTTAACATTTCATGACCAGTGGTGTTTATCCTAGGAATTCAGGCTTAATTTGACATTCAAAATAAATATTGAAAAATTCACCATATCAGCAGAATAAACAAAAATGATTAAAAATATAGTATCTCAATGGTTGTAAAAAATATTCATGACAATTCAACATCAACTTATGTTAAAAAGAAAAAGAAAAATCCTCAGTAACCCAGGAATAAAAGAACATCAACCTAATAAAGGGCATGTGTGAGCAACTACAGCTAATATAATACTTAATGGTAAAAGACTGGAAATTTCTCCTCTAATATCTTCAGCAAGAAAAAGATGTCTATTCTCAGTACTTTACATAACATTTTACTGGAAGTCCTAACCATTGCAATGGGCAAGAAAAAGGAATTTAAAAAATATAGATTGGAAAGAAAGAAGCAGAATTCATTATTTGCAAATAACATAACTGCAAGTAGAAAGTGTTAAAGAATATAACAAAAATCCTACAGAACTAATAGAAATTTAAGCCTATGATGCAGAATAAGTGTATGCATAAAAATAAACTGTACTTCTATGTGTTAGCCACAATAACTGGACAATTAAATTTTTTAAAATACCATTTACAGTAGAATAAAAAATGCTTAGAAATAAATTTAATAAAAGATACACATGACTTTCCCACTGAAAACACTAAAATGTTGCTGAGAAAAATTAAAACATAAATAAATAGAAAGTTATATCATGTTCATGGATTGAAAGATTTAAAGTTGTTAATGTTAATTCTCAAAATTATCTATAAATCCAACTTAGTCCCATTCAGAATCATAATTGGATTTTGTAGAAATTGACATGCTATTTTTAAAATATACACAGTAATGTAAAGGGTCTACAGTAGGTAAATAATCTTGAAAAATTGCAAAATTGGAAAACCTATCCTTGGTGATCAACACTGTAGTTATGGTGAAAAAAGAGACACAAAAATTAATGGAAATAAGAAAGTCATTTCTTGATTCTAAATTCCTAGCTCAGACACAAAAGTTAATTAATATAAGATGGATTCTAAACTTAAACATAAAACCCAATGTCAGAAAGCTTCTAGGAAAAATGTAGGAGAATCTCCTTGCAACCTTGGAGTAGGCAAATATTTCTTATAGAAATATCTTCTAGAGAAGATATAGAAAACAATAACCATATGCAAAAGAAAAACAACAAAATAGTAAATTAGACTTTGTCAAAATTAAAAACTTCTGCAAACCTAAGACACTTTTAGGTAAAATATGTAGTTATGTATAGACTGAGAGAAAATATTTGTGATACATATAGCTGACAAAGATTATATACAGAATCTTTTCTTAAACTCCTGCAGTACAATTATATAAAGACATACCAATAGAAAAATGGGCAAAACTTGAGCAGACACCTTACAAAATAATATATGCAAATCTCTAATAATAAATGCAAATGGTACATGATAAGGAGCTGATCATAATTAGTCTTCAGGGAAATGCAAATTATAACTATAATAAACTACCTCTGCACACTCAATAGAATAACTAAAAAAAAAAATCTTTGATCATAAAATATTGGAATAAGTGTAGAGCAACCAGAATTCTCATACATTGCTGGAGTGGAGAGTAAGAGGTTTTTAAATATATGTCCAATCTAGAAATATTTTTTGGCAATTAGTTAACAAGTTAATTATATATCTACCTGGTGACTTAGCAATTCCACTCCTAGGTACTTATGGTAGTGACATAAAATTGGAAGACTTTCAAAAGCCTTACACAAGAATGTTCATAATAGCTTTATTTATAGTGCCAAACTACAGGAAACAGCTCTGTTATCTATCAATAGGAGAATGATTAGCAAATTTCAGTATATTCATCTAATGGAATATTACACAGCAATGTAAATGAACAAATATCTGAAAATTACACAAGTGATTTTCATTATGAAAGAAGCCAGACATAAAAGAGTAAATACAATATAATTCCATTCTAAAAAAGTTCTAGAAGAAGCAAAAAGAAATATGATGCTAAGAAATTAAATCTGTGGGTGTTATTTATTGGGAAGAGGCACAGAAGGACCTTTCTGTGATTTAAAGGCATGTAGATTAAGCAAATGTGTGCATTGTCAGAACCAATCCAATTGTTCATTTAGGAGCTTTGCATTTCATTGCATGCAAATTATGCCTCAAAGATATACTCTTCTTTGATTTTTAGCAAAAATGTTAGATGATATTTTATTTCTTAATGTAGAAACTGATACAGAGATTTTTAAGTAACCCTTAGGAGTTTCCACATAGACTGGTGCTTCCTTCAATCTCCCTAGCCTCATCAGGACGACTTAAGTGTAAGTGCTTGTTAATTAAGTCCAGTAGCTAAATAACAGTATATAATTCTACAAGTTAGAGAAAATATATTAATCAAATATTATGAATGAAATATAATAGAGATACAAAATGTATGTAGTTGATATGATACTATTTTTACAATAAATGTCTCCAATTATAGGTTAGCAAATAACTGTAAATGTGAATACATTCTGAAACAAAAATAACATCTGCTCCCTTTGCATAAGCATTCATAGAATGCTTTGTGATATAAAAATATTTGTATTCAAGCAGAAATCCCAACTTTTAAAAAATTACCAATTATTGTCAGGAGATAATGATTTAGAAAATAAATATGATGATGTGAGCATTTTACCTATACTTCATAAATGCTTACATGCACAATCTTCATTCAGTGGGAGTTTGAGGAAAGCAGGTGCTCTTTTTAAAAATGACACTGTTAGGGTCACTTCTTCTCCAGCGTTCCGAAGCACCTGAACCTAAAATAAAACCGAAGGAAAATGATACTTTATTGCTATGGGCACAAAGTATTTTATATGATTGCAAAACCTTGAAATGATTCGTTGTCTTTTCCATCCCTCTTTTTTCCGTAGTGGTCAGAAACATTTTATTCAAGATAGGGGGAATGAATTATGTAACATTGTAGGAATACAGCCATCATGTTCTTCCTCTTCCCGACATTTGGTGGTCCCCTGTTCACTCACAGTGTCATCATCTTCCATTCATATTTATAGAGGTCTCTTAGTATTTGGTGTGTATTAGGCAATATGAAAGATTATGACATCTACAGAAAGATGTAGTGCTCAAGCCACTGTGTCATTAATTTAATAATATTTACTGAACCTCTATTATACACTACTTGGAGATATAAAAATAAATGACCCTGCAGATGCTGATGAATGAGCTAATTCACATTAAACAAAATTGGCCCAACTCAGTCAAGCACTTTTGCAAAAAAATAAATAAATAAATAGGTATTATTTTCCTATTATATCATTGCATATTTTATTCTCCTTTCCCTGCAAACTTGGAATAATGGTGGAGACTGTTATCATCAACTCTCAACACTTTTCAAATTATAGAATAGGTCTAATTCTACCAGTTAAAATAATGTCAATTTCTTCAAAAATTGTATCAAAACAATTGTAAGAAATACTAGAAGAAGTACAGGAAGCTGAGGAGTTATCTATAACAAACATACGTAGAAAAGATATAGGCATATTTATAGTTTTGAAATCTCACATCAGCTAAGAGGAGAATTACGAATAATTAGTGAAGAGACAGTTATTAAACATGGGGATACAGCTTGTGACTAAACATCTAGAAAAAAATGCTCCCCCTCCAGTAATTAGAGAATTGGCTATCAAAAGGATTTAGAATGACTTTGGGGCTGGAGAAGATGGATTGGCTTCATCTTCCCCTGCTCCTCTTCAGTAACTATAAACACTCAAAAACCTGCAAGATACAACTGAAATGCAAGTCAAACTCTGACAGGTAGAAAGAGAAAAGAAGAACTAGTTAGGAATCCCAGGACTGATGGAGCAGCACAGAGGAGGGGTGTTTTAGATGCTCCCAACCCAACAGAGGGATTTCTACCCACTGGAGGATAAAGAGTCCCTTTGTCCACTTAGTGGCACAAGGGGGCCCAGCCTGAGAAATCTCCTTCCACCTCCTCAAACAGCATCAGCAAGGAACAGTGGGAAATCAATTAGACCAAAGAAGCCAAACAGGCTCTAAAAAGTATATTGTCGATGGAACCACAGTTCACAAAATTAGGCTAGAACCTGTATGGTAAATAGAGTGAATTCCTGCTAAAAAGAAAAAAAAAAGTCTTACATAAGAACCACAGGCTCAACATAATAAGCAAGGTGGCTAAGATACAATAACACATCTCACTAAAACCCAGAAAAATCACAATTTGAATGAGAAAATATAGCTAACTCCAACTAGATGAATTACAAACTGGTATTATCTGATAAGGTTTTAAAGCCACCTTAATAAAAATGTCAGCAAGAAATTACAGTCTCTTGAATCAAATGAAAAATTACAAAATCTCAGCAAAGAAATGCAAATTGTGAAAAAGAACCAAATAGAACTATAGAACTAAAAACAGCATTAACATAAATTAAAAAAAAACATATTGGATTGGCTCAATAATACAGCGAAGATGACAGAAGTTAGAATCAGTAAACTTGAGCACAGAACAATAAAATTCACCCACTCACATACAGGAAAAAATAATGTATTTCATCACATTAAAGGTAGAAATAAAAGGTTTAAAAATGAAAAAAATATATAGTCATTTAAATAGATGCAAAGACGAATTTAATAAAATACATTTGATAAAAATTCATAGAAAACTGAGTATACAAAAGAGTATCTTCATATTAGAAAGAGGATATAGAAATATCTTTAAGAAACATCATCGTTAATGGTGATTTATTAAGACATTTCTCTCTGAGATCAGAAATGAGACAAAAATGTCTACTATCTCATTTTCCTTAATCTTTCTTCAGGTCTTATTGCAATAAGGCAAGAAAAGAGCTAATAAAATGCCCAAGAATTGAAAGAAGAAATGAAACTGTCATTATTCAGAGATAAGATAATTTTGAGCATAGAAAATCCTTGGGAATCTATAGACATTATTACATGAGACATTACCAGTTGAGTTACTAAGGGAGTTCAGCATGAAATAGTATAGATACAAAGCAATACACTGTTAGAAAGAAAACCATAGGCCCAAAATGGAGTCATATATGTTAGGTTATCACCAAATCAGAGCTTAATACCTAATCTAATTGCAATTTCAAACTCTCCCAAAAATACAGTCTTAAATAGCAGAAGTTTTCTGGTCAGCACCATGGAGGTAATCTGTCACATGGGCCTTCTCCAACCCCCAAAGGAAGATGAAGTAATCCATCTGCTAAGGCCTCTTGCCCTTCCTCCTAAAGGAAGGTGATCCTGCCTCAAACAATACTTTCTCTTTTTTTCTTTTCTTTCTTTCTTTTTTTTTTTTTTACTAATTCTCCCTCCCCTTGTCTGCCTATAAAATCCTTCCATTTTATAGGCAGGAGCTCTTGGAGCTCCTTCCTACTTGCTAGATGGGATGCTGCCTGATTCATAAATGGCTTAACAAAGTGAATTAGATTTTCAAATTTACTTGTTTAAATTTTGTTTTTTAACAATACAAAGGTCAACTGATTTTGATTCAATATCAACAAACAAATATATCAATTTTTAAATAATGTCAGACTGTGCTGTCATGGATCACTAAATGTAATACTATAAAGATATCAATTCCCTCCTACTTTTCTATAAATGCAAGACAATCCTTTTCAAGTTCCCAATGTCTTTTTTTTTATTCAATTTTTGGCTTCGTATGAATTTATGAACTTGCCTTATGTTTTGCATTGACATTTAACACTGATATAATCATTATTATATAACTGTATTGAGAGTTCATTAGTGAAATATATGGGATGGTGGAACACAATAGGCCAATACTTATATTCTATAGTAAATGTACAACAAATAATTTCTATCATTAAATAATAAAGAACAGTATGAGCATCTTAAGGGTAAATATGAGAATAAACAGGTATAAGTTAAATATGGCTGCCTCAGAAATAAGAAACGGACAACTCATTTACATGTGTACTTCAATCTTAAAGTTTTATTCAAGTATAATTGAGAAAAATAAAAAAATATTTTTATATAATATATAATAATTTAAAATCTCACCCTAGGGGATAACTTAGTTTTGTTTTTAATAAAAGGTCAATTGTGGTTATCTTTCTGGCCAATCACAAGTTCAAGTCCTTGACACATACACATTTCTTAATAAATGCAGGAATATTCATTTTTTCAGTGAACAGGATTGAGATAATGTGTTTTTAAATTTTTTCTCAGCTTTGCTACTATGCTTTGAATGCATGTTTCATCAGCCTGATACTGTCAGGTTGAAAAATATAGGTTCTACATCATGAATAATGATGGATGTCATCTTCCTGCAAAATCAGAAATCTGTACCAATAAATCTGTACCAGTTGTCTTTTTCATTATCATTCACATTTTATGATGCAAATCAAAAGTACATTTTGATCTGATCATGGATTATCATGGCTATTCTATCATATTGCCTTGGGTGTGTATGTGAGCAAAGTGTGAGAGATAGGTAAAGTATGGCAATAATAAGAGGGAATAGGGGGAAGGAATTAAAATAGATATTTATAGGTTTATTATATTAAACCACGACAAACCTAACAACTCAGTTCATGAACTGAAGTTTTTGAGTTCCGCTCACCTGTTAGAAGGGAAACTTCATAAAATCATTTTGTCTTCTTCACTCTTTTCTCCTTCCCCTTGGAGGATATTCTATTTAATATGAGATATTAAAGAGGAATTTATCCATCTGCCACTGCTATGGTATATGAAGTCAAGAATGTCCGTGCCTGGGAACTGTTTTATATTTTTATTTTTTTGAAGACTTTATTTGTATAGAGTAGTTTTAGGTTCACAGCAAAACTTTGGGGGAAAGCACAGAGATTTCCCATATGCTCCCTGCCTCCCCATGTGCACTGCCTCCTGGTCATCAACATCCATCCTCCATCAGAAGGGTACATTTGTTACAAATGATGAACTGACATTGCATCATTATCACCCAGGGTCCATTGTCTACCTTAGGGTTCACTCTTGGTCTTGTAAATTCTCTGGATTTGGGGAAATATGTAATGATATGTATTCAGCACTATTGTATGATATAGAGTATCTTAACTGTCCTAAAAATCCTCTGTGGTCTGCCTAATCATCCCTGTCTCCTACCTCAACCTTGGGGGATTGTGTACTGTAAGTACACACATCAGGAAACACACACCCACATATACATACACACACACACACACACCCCACACACACATCTTCAGTGGCAAGAAGAGCAGTAAGAAGGTTTGTGAGGATCATAGTCACTAGCCTAGCATGATGTCAGAACAATCAAATAAGATTTAGATCTCCAGAGAGTAAGGTAAGCATTGCTGCTCACTGATGACAGTGATGGAAAACAGTTACCTAGAATTTCACATTAACATTTGACTCATCTCTCTTGACATATTGTTAAGTGCAGTAAATCATTTTCTTAAAGCCCTGACTCCTGGCTGAAAAGGAAATTAAACATGACTTTGAGGAATGGTTTTAAACAGGTTGCCTTACTGACAAAACAACTAAGCTAACACTAGATACAATCACATGCTTTGCTGCTCATGTTAACATAGTAATTACATGTCGACATGGAATAAACAAATCACTTTTTTATTATATATATTATTATGTAATCACTTTTTGTTTATATTAGTTGTGGGGAAAAACTTGACTTATTACTTGTATTATAGAATAAAAGATTGAGAGAAAACTGTAACTTAAAAGCTTTCCAAAATGGGGTTAATGGGTCCTCTGGCCCTGTGCACCTGCTTTCACATTCAGGTTT